TCTCCAACTCTTTGTTATTGTGAATAAAGTCACGATAAACATAGGTGTGCAGATACCTGCTTGGGTGGCAGTTATAGTTTCTTTAGGGTATATTCCGAGTAGTGGAATTGCTGGGTCAAATGGTATTTCTATTTGCAACTTTTTGAGAAAGCACTGTACTGCCTTCTGTCATGGCTGCACCATTTTACACTCCCACCAACAGTGAATAAGGGTTCCAGTTTCTCCACAACCTCGCCAGCATTTGTTGTTTGTTGTTCTGTTACATTTTGCTATTCTTACTGGGTGAGATGATATGTCATAGTTGTTTTGATTTGCATCTCTCTTAGAGCTAGGGATTTTGAACATTTCTTCATGTGTTTGTGGATAGAGAAGCTGTGGTATAGTCACACAATGGAATACTACATTGCATTGAAAAAGAACTCAAGAAATATTATTCAAAATGGGTGACCCTGGAGGACATTATGCTGAGTGAAATATCTCCGACACAAAAGGACAAATACTGCATAATTCCACTGTTGTAAAATGGGACTGACATCAGGGTTGGAAGGAGACTGAGAAAGATGGGATAAATAATGTATACTGCATTGAAACAGATAAGTGAGATAACTGTTTAAAAGGGATATATGATTAAGTATTATTGTCATGACAAGAGTTCAGAACAAAGGCTGCATAGTGGGGTGGACTTGGAGGGAGGGATTGTATACCAATGAAAGAATTTTTCTTTTACTTTTCAAAGAGAGGAATGAACTAGAGGGTAGGGGTGGGCAGGGAGAAAAGTGCAACAGTGAGTAAATGAAAATCCAAAATCTCTGTAAATTTTCATTAAAATGAATACTAATTTTTTTAAAAGGAATCCTGGTAGAATAGTTGGTTAAGGACTGGGCTATAAGCAGAAAAATCAGCTGTTAGAACCCATCCATTGCTCTGAAGGATAAAGATAAGGTAGTCCATCCAGTGGAGGGTCAACTTGACTGCAATATGTTTGTTTGGGTTTTGCCACAAAAAAGAAAATTACAGCATACCTCAGAGGTAAGACAGCTTCGATTCCAGACATACAACAACTCTGTGAAGTTAATCACATGAGGTTTTGGGTTCCCAAATGCATATGAACATCATGTTTGTACTAGACTGTAGTCTACTGCTGTGCATAGCATTACGAAAAGATTGAAATACTTTGTGAATTACCAAAATGTGGCACAGGAATGTGAAATGAGCACACACGGCTTGAAAAATAGTGTCGATAGACGTGGTCAAGATGGGTTACCACAGATTTGTACAAAAAGGCAATGCCTGAGAAGCTCATAAAGGCAAGTACAGTAAAAGGAGATATGCTTGTGTACATATTTAGCTTCAGTTTGGTTTTTGTTTAAGATCCCTGCGTGACATAGAATTGTTTTGGTTTATCTACTTCTAGTTTAAAGCCTAAAGTGCACTTTACTCAATTCATGGTCTTCTCAATTGCTTTCTATGCATCTGGAAGAAGGGACAGTGAGTAAGGATGGCAGAAGAAGAATCAATGCTTGTGAGCTGTGGTGTAGGAGTATTGAATATCCCATGGCTGGCCAAACGAACAAAGAAGACTGTTTTGGATAAAGTGCAAATAGAGTGCTTCTTGGAGCCAATGATGGTGAAGCTTTCTCTTACGTATTTTGGGCATGTTGTTAGGAAGGGTCAGTCCTTGGCAAAAACATCATTCTGGTAAAGGTGGGAGGTCAGAAAAGGAGAAAAGGACTCTCACCCAGATGGATAGAGGTGGATAGTCACAATGACTGTCGAGTGAGCTCCAGTTTATCAGGATGATGAGGATGGCACAGAATAGGGCAGGGTTCAGCTCTGTTGTTCACAGGGTCGGTGTGAGTTCTAGTCAACTTGATGACACCTAACAAAAACTACTAATCTAAAGTAACATTTTTTTGCCCTTTGTTTTAGATTTTAATGAAAATTTATAAAGAACTTGGATTTCCATTCATTCTTTGTTGCACATTTTCCTCCCTGTCCCCCTGTGTGTTTCCCCGCCCCCCGCCCCTCGGTTTGCTTTTTTCCTTTGGGAAAAAAGTTCTTTCATTGTTAGACACTCTCCTCCATCACGTTACTATGCAGCTCTTATTCTGGACTCTTGTCATGCCAATAATACCTGATTGTATGATCCTTTTATACAATTCTCTCCCTTGTCTGTTTCAGTGCCGTGCACATTCTTTATCCCCTCTTTTTGACTCCGTCCCAGTGGGCCCGTGAAAGGAGCCCTGCCTGCATGAGAAGCACAGACCTGAGACCCTGTGGAAGAGTTCAGTGCTGGGACACTGTGAGTCAGAAAGGACATGTGTGCAACAGGTGTGGGAGTTTTGGGTTTTTTTCTTGGTTGGTTTGTTACTGTTACTAAGAAAGACATCTTCCTTGTGTTGAGCACCTATTGTATACAGGGTCCTCAATGCATCATCTCCTTTAATCTTCTGTTATCTGTGGAGCAAGTGTCCTATTATCATTCCATTTTACTTATTTTTAAAAAGAAACATAAAATACGTATTGAAGAGTCACACCCTCCAGAATTACACAGGGCCAGTGGCAGTGTGGTTAAGGCATGAGGCTGCTAACCAGAAAGCCAGCGGTTTGAACCCACCAACCGCTTCATGGGAGAAAGATGGGCATTGGCTTCTGTAAAGGCTTATACCCTGGAAGCCCTACGGGGGTGATCTGCTCAGCCGTGCATGTTCCTATGAGTCAAAATTGACCCATTAGCAGGGGATTGTTGAGTTTTTTATAACAGTGATTAAACATTCTAGCTGTACATACAGAGATACTGAGGTTGGAATAGACAGGATCTTGATTATGTATTGTATCTCAATACTTTGTTTCTTTTTTTTTTTAGTTTTTTTTATTATTAAATTTTATTAGTTTTAATGAGCATTTACCGAGATTTTGGGTTCTCGAATTCATTCATTGTTGCACTGTTTTCTCTACCCTCCTCCCCAGTTCGTTCATCTTCCTCCCCCATGTCTGTTTTAATTGTCCAATTGCCATAGTGCTTGTCAAAGCCAGTTCTGATTAATCTCCTTTGTCAGTGTGTCCTTTGCCATTCCCTATCACTCCTCCCTGAGAGAGACTTCACCCTGATTCATAAGGAAAAGGGGATGGCAGATTCTCTTAGCTACTTCCCGCTGAAAAGGGACACTTGGTTTCTTGTGGTTGCTTGCAACATGGGAGAAATGAAAATACCACAGTTTTGTAGACTAGCTTGTGTGCAGAAATGGGGCAGGCGAGACACAGTGAATGAGTCTCTCTCTCCCCCCTTTATAAACACAAAAGCTGCAAAATGAATTAATCTGTATGAAAACAGGAATATAATAGCCCTCAATGTTTAAAAAATGCCAGTAAGATGCCAGAATTTTCAGTCCAACTTTCAGACTAGCCATTTTACTTGGCTTTCATTAAAAATACCCAGTAGGATATTTCTCACGAGCAGCATTCAAATATATAAAATAGAGGCCCATAACATAAATCAGAGAAAAAGGTGAAGCATATTGCATAATTTGAGATGATTTAATGACATTTATGACTACAAAGCTTCTGTGGAAATGAGTGCCATAGAGACTACGTTAAATTTCATCTACTCTCCTGAATGTTCCCATCACATTTTTTAGCTTAACATTTTGTTTTCATTTTACATGTGCTGCTTTTTGTTTGTTTGTTGTTTCCCCCTCCCTCATTTTACCTGTGCAGTTGTTAGCCTACTTCCTGCTGGCCTCTGACACATGGTGACCCCAGTCAGAGCAGAACAAACCATACCCCTGTCCTGCACCAGTCCACGACCATTTGAAAATCACCCTGCTGTGACGCATAGGGTGTTCCTTGTTGGTTTTGGAAGCTGCTCTCCAGGCCTTTTTTCCTTGTCTTTCCTTGTCTGGAAGGGCCACTGAAACCTGTTAATACCACGGCAATAACAGAGGCATCTTCACTGACAGAGATGGGTGGTGGCTGAGTATAAGGTGTTTTGGCCAGAACTGAGTCCAAGGATGGGGAGAAGTGTACCTTTGACCTACTCCTGCGCCTCAGTACATTTTTTGCGTAATTTTTTTTTGTAATCTCATTTTGCTGATGAAAAAATTGAGGAGTAGGGAGATGATTGTACTTACCCCAGACCTCTCAGGCTTTGCACCAGGCTCCGACTGAAATTCAGCCCACAGAGCAGCAGTCCCAGGGTGGTGGCCCCGCAACACAGCAGGGAAGGGCCAGGAGAGAGTGGGGACATGAAGTGACTTGTGCAAGAAGGTTCCATTCTGCTTGTGATAATTTGTTCATCACAAGATTTTTAGTTTTTTGTGTTAATTTTAATTTCCCAAAATATTGCCAATCCCCAAACTCAATGCCTCTAACCTGAATTCCAACTCCTAGTGACCCTGTAAAACAGAAGAGAAGCACTTTGGAGGGTCTCTAAGTCTTTATGGGAGCAGAATGCCAGCTCTTACTCTCATGGGTGGCTGGTGTATTTGAACCACAGACCCTGTGGTTAGTAGCAGAACATTTAACACTGTGCCACAAAGGCTTCAAAATACTGCATGATGATGTTATTTTGATTGCTGGAGTTTCTTGATGCTGGGGAAGGTGTCATCTTGTCTGTTTTGTGAGTGAGGACCCCAGAGACTTAATGTGGTCAGTACCTTGCCTTAGGCCCCATGTCTCTCACACACACATGGATGTGTCTGAACTAACTCATCGCTGGCCCTTCAGTGGGTTCGCTGGCTATAAATCACATGGGAGGAGAGTGTCCAGCTTTCTCCGGAGAAGCATCTGGTGGATTCACATCATCAGAGAGAGGTAGCCTTTGAGACAGCTGTTACAAGCCCCCGCAGGCTGTGCCACCAGAGCAAGTCTTGGTCCTTTGAATGGTTTGGTCATGAAGGCAGCGATGGACGGCTCTTAGGTGAAGGACGTTTAATGCTGCATTGCCTGTGCAATTCCCTTCTCTCTAAGCTGTGTTCTCACCACAGGGTTCTCTCTTCCAGGTCAGGAAAGAGGTTAAAGAAGACCCGGAAGTATGACATCATCACCACTCCAGCCGAGCGGGTGGAAATGGCCCCGCTGAATGAAGAGGATGATGAGGACGAGGACTCCACAGTATTTGACATTAAATACAGGTACGGGACAGATTCCTTCTGAGACACTGATGGGACTGTGCGGCTTTGCAGTGATGCCAGCCCCAGTGTGGTGTCCTTGTGTTCTGGGTCCTTGGATAAAGCCTTGGAGGTCTTTGCTCCAAGCCCTTCCCAGAAATCCAGCAGAGAGATACTTAGGCCTGGATTTCCTCAGCCTGACATCACGGAAAGGTCAGATTTACTGGAGGAAAGAGGGACTGAGTCTCACCCTATGAGCTTGACATATGCACTGGCTGTGGGGGAACATCATCCAGGAATGCCCATCACCAAAGTGCACAGAAACGGGACATCCAGCCTTGCTTACATAGGCAGCTGAGCATAGTGGGGGGGGGGTTCCTGTTTGGGGTGGGCTCTAAAGACACAAGTAATTCCTAAAATAGCCTGAGGGGAAGTCAGGGTGACTTTATGGCTTTGGGATTGTAGGGTGAGTTTTTGTTTCCTTTGAGGGTGCTCTCTGAGTACGTGTGATTACACAGTGTGAACACAGGAGTGAATATAGTGTAGAAATGAAGACTTGCGGACCGAGGAGGGTGGAGAACCTGCTTGTCTACAGTTCCAGTTGGACCTCCTTTACTTCTTCCGTACTCTTAGTTCTTTGCTCTTCTATAGAAATCATCTTATCAGATTCAAGGATGCCCTGGTGGCTTAGTGGTAAGGAGCTGCTCTGTCAACCCGAAGGGAAGTGGTTCAAATCCACCAGCTGTTCTGCAAGGAACTGTGCTCCTGTGAGATTTTCAGCCTCTGAAAACCCCCTGGACGGTTAGCAATTTCTCAATAGCATTGACTTAATAAGTGTATAAGGACCTTGAGTAGCACAGCTGTTTATTTTTTTTTTACCTTTATACAGTTTATTTTTTTTCTTTTAGCTGTTTGTTTATTAATCAAAGATTGGCAGTATGAATCCGTCCAGTGTTGCCTCAGGTGAATTTCCTGGTGCTCCAGGAAAGAAAGGGTGCTTCTGAAAGATGGCACCATTGAAAACCCTGTTGAGCTTAGTTCTACTCTGATACTCAGGGCCTTGGTTCAGAGCAACTTGATGGCAGCAGGCTTTCTTGTTTGCGTAACACCATTATGATACTGGAAAAGTAAGTCAGTTGGCACAATGGCAAAGTGTTTGCCCTTGCTGTGAGAGGCTGGCAGTTTGAACTTATCCAGAGGCTCTGAGACAGAAAGAGCTGGCGATGTACTTCTGTACAGATTACAACCAAGAGAATTCCATGGGACAGGTCCACTCTGCCACTGGTCTTGGAGTCAGAATGGACCTGACAGCGTCCTTCATTACCCTCATCTTTGCATCTTACTGGATCTTCCCATCCATGGACATGGAATGACTTTCTAGTTACTTAATATTTTACAAACGTCTTTTAATATTTTTTATCTTTTTAAAATACTAGTTAATTTACAAAATTCAAATACATTGCTTTCAAGAATAGATTCTTCCAATTTCCTCTCAGCCCCCACCCATCGAATTGTACAATTCCATGATTAATCCCCCCTCCCCCTGCTCATGCACATCCTTCCACCCTCCCCCACCCCCTTGGATCCTTGTACTCATTCTACAATAATGGTTTTATACAATATTTATCCTTGTGGCACTGAGTTAGTTCACTCAGCATAATGCTCTCCAATCCCTCCTAAATTAGGTAATAATTTACAAAATCATTGCTCCTGGGTGCTGTGTAGTATTCCATTGTGTAAATGTATCATAATGTCTCAATCCATTTGTTTGTGGTTGGACATTTGGGCTATTTCCATGTTCTTGCACTGGTGAATAATGTTGCTTTGAATATTGGTGTACAAAACTAGATGCTTAGCATTTTACAAATGTCTTTTAATATTTTTAAGCCTTATAGATGATCTAGAAATAGCATTTTTTTCAAGCTTTATGTTTATGGCATTTAGAAATGCAGTTGCCTTTTGAAGATACTGATTTTGTGTCTAACAACTTTGCTCAACTCTTACTAGCTCTAGTAATATAAATGTTGAATCATTGGGTTATCTATGTGTATATATCCTTGGAAAAAATCTTCATGCTTTAAAAGGTGGAAAGGTCAGTGTAAGAGGAGAAAGACCCTCAACAAGATGATTTGATACAGTGACTGTAACAGTGGGCTTGAGGATATGAGACACTGAGGATGGTGATAGGGCAGGGTTCAGATCTGTTGTTCATACGGTTATTTTGAGTCAGAGTTGACTCAGTGGCACCTAACAACAAATGTAAACCTGACATAGTCCAATGGTGATTAATTCTATGAAACATAATGAATGGAATGATTGTATGAAACATATGTGAGAAAGAATACTGTGAAACAAAATGTATCCGAACTTTGTAAGCAAACCAATGTAAAAATAAAAAAAAGTTTTCATTTCCTCCTATCCTTAAATATTCCCATTTTTAAAATATTTTTAAATTTTTATTTATAGTCTCTTAAGTTATTGTTAAATAAACTTAGTGCCCTGTCTTCTTTTTGGTCTTAAAGGATGATCTTTCAACATCTGACAGGCAAGTGTTAGACTTGTGCAGTTTTCTCCCAGGTCGTTTTCTTCTGTTTGTGGTGTGCTGAGGGTTTCTCTTTGTCTTCTAAATCACGCTGTTGTTGGTTGGCACGACTCACTTGAGTATAATGGGGCACGGCCTGCTCCTGTCCATCCTCATCCGTGTCTGTGTGTCCGTACGCCTGAGCTGCTTGTGGCTTTGTACCAAGTCTGGTTCATTGACGGCGTCCCTGTTTTCTTGACTTGCGACTTTAGCAAATATCAAGCCCTTTTTCCTGTCTTTCCTGGTGATGTATAAGCTAGTTCTCATTGTCCTTGATTCCTGATTGTATTTATTTTAAGATCATCTTTGTTCTTTTGTAATTTTGAGTGAATGTCAAGTTTTGTGAAATGCTTTCCCCCCTAACTATAGAGAAGAGTGTATTTTTCCTTTCAACTGTTAACATGGCAGATTTATATTCATTAATTTTCTAATATTAGGTCAACTTTTCATTTCTGGGCTTGGCTGCCTGTGGTCATGTTATCTTCCTACACCTATTGTCACATTTGGTTTGCTTATATTTTCTTTATGACTTTCCTGTCTCCCATACAGCTAAAATTTCCTGGTTTGTAATATCCTTGTCTGCCTTTGATAAAAGTTTTATTAGCTTTATAAAATGAGTTGGGACGTGTTCTTTATTTCCTTTTCTTTGGAATAGTTTGCATTAGATTAGAATTATTTGTTCCTTAAATGTTGGGAAGGACTTGCTAAAACAGGCTGAGGTTGATGCTTTTCTTGGGTAAAAATATTTTAAAACTATTGATATTCACTTTTTTTTGGATGGTTATGGGACAATTCCATTTAGAGAAATAGGCTTTATCTGTTTCTTCTTGGGTTATACTCTTTGCAGGATTTTGTTCATTTCCTCAGAGTTGTCAACTGTATTGGTTTAAAATTGTTTATAGCATTCTCTTCTGATCTTTTTAATCTTTACAGCATGTGTAGTCCTGTCACCATTCTTTTTATAAAAGTGCTATTTCTGTCTCACATAGTTTGGGCCTGTTGTCAGAAGGGACTAGTCCTTGGAGAAGGCCATCAGGCTTGGAAAGGCGGAGGGTCAGCACAGGAGTGGAAGACCCTGAGTGAGATATATTAACACCATGACTGCGGGGATGGGATTGGGTATTTGAGACAGAGTTAGGTTGGCTCAGGAGATGACAGGGTCGAGCCATTGTTCATAGGGTTACCACGCGGACTAGACCAACAACATAACAACAACAGCGTTTACTTTGATTTTACTTTCAGTAATCATTTTTCCTATTTCATAAACAACTGTACATATATTTTGCTTTAGAAATAATAGTCACAGTTGAAGAAATCGTCTTATTTTCTAATTAAGTCAACAAGCTGTTCAATCTGAAAGCCTTAACCAAGTACTGCATCTATATCTATAACTGCTTTTATTGAGCAAGACTCTCTCTTTGATTCTTCCTGACTCACAAGCAGTGGGGCCAGTGCTTTCCCTTGGTCACATTGTCAAGACAGACAATTTGACGGGGTCACTTTTGCTTCCAGGGGTTTTGATCTTAGGGGCCCTGCTTTCTGATGCAGCAGTTGTTAGCAATATCATACCAAAGTCTTCCCATCAGGACTTCTAGACCGTAGTTAGTTAGGAAGTCCTGTGCTGGTTGCCAGAGCTCCATCTTGCCAAATACTGGTAGCATATTATGCAGTTGGCTGGACCTTGTGGGCTCCCTGTGTACAACAGAGCACGATGCAGCACAGTCCAGCACCATCCTCAGTCTCTGCTGTGCTCAGACTTTCTGTTGCAGACACTGAGTCAATCTGTCTTACGGAGAATCTTCTTCCTCTCCTTCATGGACCTATTTTTCCAAGCATTCCGTCCATTTCTAGAAACTGCTCCCCACTCCCACAACAACATGCCTAACAGCTGTAAGTCGGTTCTGATTCCGTAGCAAGGGGTTTAACCTTCATAGGATCACCATGAGTCAGTGAACTCCAGTGGCCTAGTGGTAAGAAGTGGCACTGCCAACCCAAAGGCGGTGGTTTGAATCTACCAGCTCCTCCGAGGGAAGAAGATGAGCAGTCTTCTCCTAAGTGATTTACAGCTTCTGAAAACCCTCTGTAAGTTCAACTATGACTTGATCCCAATTAGACAGTATATAACAACAATACAAAGAGCCAGGTATTGGCGTCTTCCATACTGTTTTATTGTCAATTTTAGTGGAACATCTCCATAATCTTGCCTTTCTCCCTAACTTCTCATCTTGGTGCTATTTTAGTGCTTCATTTTCATCCCTCTCTTCCAGTATAACTATTTATTCTCTATCTTCACCTATGTTAACTGTCTCCTATTGGCATTCATTATCATTGTCAGGCAACCTGCTTTGAAGAGTTGAGTTTCAAGTAGCAGCTGGGAGCCATGGTGGGGCAGAGACTGAATGCTCAGCTGCTAATTGAAGGGTTGGTGGTTTGAATCCACCATCAGCTCTTTGGGGTGAAGATGT